AGATTCTGTCGCAGTCAGTAAACCTTTGCACTCGATCTCATATGTAGCGTCGCGGCTCTACGGCACAATGAACGCGCGTTCGTGAATAAAAAAATACGCTATGTGGATAGGCTCTTAAGGTAGTTTACATATTGTGCAAAAGAAATATAATGAGCCCATCTGTCGGTGGATTAAGAGTACTTATACACATATGCGATTCGTATGCCATGAAGCATAATCTTAAATACAATGTGCTCAAAAGCGAATATATGGTTTTTCATCACATGTCAATTTCCCACCCCATTCTTCTTAACGATCAACAGCTGAATAGAGTAACCTCGTTTTAATTACTTGGTCACTTTATAACAGACGAGACAACGCAGGTATTGAGAGGGAAGGTAGAGCATTAGCAATGAGAGCTAATATGATAGCACGTAGATTCAGTCGATGTACGGCACAGGTAATAGTGACTTCTTTATTTAAAGGTTACTGCAAATCGCTGTACACCCGTAGTTTATGGTACACACAAAAGCCACTAAATGCAATGCGTGTACAGCATAACGACGATTTCAGGAATTTTGTTGCGGCTGCCGTAACACTGTAGTGCGTCCTGGATATTCGCGGATGCGAGCAGTGACGGCTTCGACGCTACGTTACGCAAGCGCTGCGCCGCGACAATGCGTAGGGTGCGACTCTAGGGTGAAACTCTTCACAGTTGTTGCACACAGATAGGACAGTGGACTGCTAAGAAACTGGTCCTCTCTCCATTTAAGTTTACGTACTAACACAGTCATTTAAGTTTTTGTTGTAATACTAACATTTTTATGGGTCTTGTTATGGTCCCAAATAAACGCATTTTTTTTAATAATATGCCCAAATGGTAATAACAGGTATGTTTTAGCTCAAAGAATAAAGGGTGTTGAAGATAAACCCAATTTTGATACAGAAACTCGAATAATTGAGTTTTGGGAAACTAATTTTACAAAGCACACAGTCGGAGATCCTGGAGACAGAATTAACATAATACTAATGACTCAAGTGTCAACTGTAGACATTTTGTACCCTTTGTGATTCACATTTGCATCTTTCGAAAGCGTTTCTAAGAAGCAAACATGCATAGCAGTTAGTAGAAAGATAATGTACGCGTCTGAAAAATGCCATATGTTTTGCACTGGTAAAAGTAGAATAACTGTTTTATTTCTCTGTAATATTATACCAGGTATTGAAATTTTCATTACATTAAGCATTCCCTTCGCGTTCTTAAATGAATATAGTCTTGGTAGATAAAATATTTTCAAATGGCCCTTATATAGAAATGTATACTTCAGAATTTTCAGAATGCTGTTTAGATTCAGCACGTTATTTGAAACTTGACTAGAATATAATAGCTCAATTAAATATATGTGAAGTTATTGAGAAGCCATTTGAATTATTCATCTATGAAGTTTAATTTTAACAAACTAATTTAAACTCGTAATAACAAACGTACATATTTATGTACAAACGTAAATAAATGGGATACCTAAAAATTTTAAATAAACAATAGATTCAAAACTATAATTTATTACATTTCTACATTGATTTATGTTGCACGTATACAGAAATTATTTCCAGAAATTTCTTAGTCAACAATATTTACTTTAATATGTTCCAGAAGTTTCGCTTTCGTTCGATTGATTTTCTTATATTTAGGGTTCGCTTTCACAGATCGTCTAATGCTACTCCTTGTCATTACTCTGTCAAAGACTTCTTCACTGGTATCCTCGCTACCGTCATCGGAGAAATGATTATTCATACTATCATTCATTTGCTTTGGTCTAAGCATAATAGGTTCGACTGGACCGTCTGATAGTACAACGTCTTCGTGAGGTCTTTCATCGTCGCTTGTAGGTCTCTCGTTACTGTACTGACGAGTAAGCAGTCTTTTATTAATAACAGGGACATCAAGACTCTTCTTGTCTTGTTCCTTTTTCTTACTAGCTTCTCGACTTGGTTTATACTTCATTGGGGAAAAGTCGACTCTGCGAAGAAAACTAATGGAATCAGCAAACCTTCTGCTACACTTCCTGATAGTTTTCGTTTCTGTTTTGACTTCTTCTATCTTGTGACCATAATCATGCTCCAAAGCAATCCCAGAGTCAGAATTCGAATCACCGAGCGTGATTTCTGGTACAGTAAACTCTGGTCGGACTTCAACTTTGCTTAGATTTTCTATAGTTTTATTAAGTTTCTCTATTGTTTCTATTTGTCTTTGTATAATCTCATCTTTTTCAGCTAGCTGCTTTGTAACTGATTCTGTCCTTAATGCTAAATTTATTTCATAATTCTGTAGTTCTCTGGACAAGAATTCCAATTCTGTCTTTCTGTTTGCCTCAATTTTTCTTAAAATTTCAGATTGTTTATGATACGCTTCCCTGAGCTTTGCTATTTCTTTTTTATGTGACGTTGTGATAAATTTAATAACGTTTATAGCTTCTTGCAGTGTTGAGGGTTGTAATATGTTTTCCTTTGATAAACTCGTAGCCATTCTTGGGTCTGTAACAAAAAACAATTACCATTAGTAAGGTAACATTATTTAACTTAGTTAATTGCTATTTGAAATAGTAATAATGATGTTGCATAATGGTTTCTAATATAACCTGTTGAACATTCTTCGTGAGTTTAATTGGGACTGCCATTAGGGGCATACAATTATCGATATAACTTAAATGATTTATAATGATTGATCAAGATATGTGTACATTTGCCAATTTTCGATGGTAAGTATAAGATGCGCGTTCAACGCGTGTTCTATTAACAACCGCTAACAACTAAACGAATTTTATTCATAAGTAGGAATAGGCATTCACATGAACGCGCATTTAACGTGCTTTACGCTTGTCATCTGAACCAGCCCTAATAAAGGTAACGTCTTACTACAATTTACGTAATATGATTCAATATCCTATTTAAAGCAAGTTTAATTAGATATTATTTGAGAAATTAACATTTTTTTATGGTACCAAGTGACAGGATGAACAAGTGGTGCGCCTGAGGGTGAGCTACGCGCCTGTCCATAACAGTTGCAGTGAAACACAGAGCTTTGAATCGCAAAGATCTGACGGGCACTGTCACTGCGCTCAACACCCTGAGACATAAGTTGATAAGTCCCATGTGCCTGTAATTTCACCAGCACCCTTACCCTACAAAACCGGGACACAGTAATGCTGACATTACTGCTTGGCGGCACGAATAGGTAAGGTGGCAGTACTTCCCTGGACGAACTCTTTTACAAGGACCTCCGTTGTTACTAAACATAAAAGTTGTGTACACTTTTTATCGAGACACTTATTATGATCACATTGTTAAACTTGTGAAAACCCATGAGTTTATTGTTCGGTTCGATGCTTCTGTAATGTATATATCAAGTGATATTAGTTATTTATTTACTTACTTAGGATTGTCAACCAAGTTTACCTTTTAACATACACAAAACAATAAACACTCAATTGATAATTAACAGGTAATTGCAATTTTAATTATGTGCAACCACAGTAATGCTAACGTGCACTTATACAGGGTTATTTTCATACCTGTATAAGTGCACGCTATGGTTGCCCATAATTAAAAATTGCAATTACCTCTTAATTATCAAGTAACTATTTATTGTTTTGTGTATGTGTTAATAATAATAGCGTGTATGTTAAATTGTAAACTTTATTGGCTATCCTTAGTAAATAAATAAGTAATGTTAGTTGATATACGCATTACAGAAGCATCAAACCGAACAGTAAACTCACGGGTTTTCACAAGTTGCGTAACCTACCCTATGAGTGAAATGTTATTACAAACCCTTGGTCCTTCTAGATAAACATCTATTGTTACAGTTAAAACAGAAATTATCACGTGATTTTGCATTCTTTGAATACCTCACTGTGTATACATTACATATTATATTTATAACTAGGTGGTATGTTATAACTATAGTTACCTATGTGACTATGTCTAACGGTCACAGCGACATTATAATAACACTGTCATATTGTTTCCTATCACACAAATGACCTTTTAAAAACAAACGAGCGCCATTCCGGAATGAGAGTGTGAACAAAAACTGTAACAATAAAGAATAGACTAACACAACAATGTCTAGGGCGATTTTAATGCCATTGTCATCATGGTCAAGTGATATTACAATGTTATGGTGTCACAAACTCTTAATACAGTTGTTAGTAGCAGTAGAGCCCCTTGTGAAAGAGTTCGTCCAGAGTAGTACTGCCACCTAACCTATTTCTGCCGCCAAGCAGTAATGTCAGCATTACTGTGTTCCGGTTTTGAAAGGTAAGGGTGCTGGCGAAATAACAGGCACATGGGACTTGTCAATTTACGTCTCATGGCGACGGGTGCTGTGGTAATGTCTCTCAAGTCTTTGCAATTTAAAGCTCTGAGTGAGACTGTAACTGTTAGAGCGCGTTGCAGCAGCGCTGTAGCCGCGCAACTATCGTTTTTCATACAATGTCTAGAAGCGCTGCAACCGCGCGATTCGCTCACGTCACGCTCGGTTGCAGTCACGGTTAGTGAGGTGTACATATACATTTTTCAAATTAACCACGATGGATCAAAATTGAATTGAAGCATTTATAGAGAATGTAAAACAACACCCTGCATTACGGGATACAGTTCCGACTGGATAAGAAAAAGGCATGGGAAAATTTGGTCACACTTCTGCAGCGCGACTGCCACGCCGTTGCTGCGCGTAGGTTGATGAAAAGTGCCTATTTAATACAGCGGTTTTCTTGTAAAGTTTGTGTTTTATTTCTATCGTGAAAATTTTTGAGAATCGCATTTTCTCACCGTGTATTAATCAGTGTATCCTATCCTCAATTTTACTAATATTTTTTCAAAGTTATTGATTTAACACTTTCACTGTTGTGCGGAATCAACCAATTTGGCTAAATACATACTTTCCTAATGATTTTAGTCAACCAAACTTTAGAATATTAACTATAAGACGAAAGTAAGGTAAACCTGAAGGACGCTCTTCAGTTTGATAACGATGACAATAATAGTTCTTGAACCTAAGTCCTCGACTCCGGCTAACGAGGTAGTCGGGAAATACCACCTACCCCATTCTACGAGAGAGGCCACAGTCTAAAACTGATATTAGAAATAGTAATCATAGCATGCCAGATAACCACACTAGTTACATAGTCACGAACCAGAGAATTTCCTGTACTGAGTACCAGGGCAAAGGAAATCACTTCAAGACTCTACACAGAACTGCTACACACCCTCACATCCTTAACTACTGAAACCTCCTACAGTCATGGACCGTGATGGACCGATGAGACTTGAAAATGATGAGTTAGGTGTTAAGATCGAAGACGAAAAGAATAGCAATAAAACACACGAGTCTAAATCAATTCAGAAAGACAATGTTTACCTTATTGAGGACATTGAAAATGGTCACGACATTAATGCTAATATAAATGTATTAACAAAATGTAAGGCAATTTCTGTATGAGACAAAGAAAACATTCAAGAATATTGACCTCCATCTTACTTTATAGAAAGTGGCAGCGATGGCGTATAACCTGTAATGCCTATTCATTCTCGACTTGAAAATAACTATTAACGTTTCATTCATGTTTTCAGCTATTTACATAACCAATTAATAATGACATGACGATGTAAGGACAAAGATATTTATTTGAAAGACGAATAGAAAGACGTAAATATGAGACGGAGAACAAAGTCTATTGAATTCATTGACTTCTCAGCAGATATTGGATTGGAATTGAATTGAAAACCATGCTTATTATTTACAAAATAAAGCATAAACTGCAATAAACACAGTAATAATATCTAATTTATAAAACAGTTACCAAAAATATTAAGTACGCAATATTGAAACAAATGGCATTTACAATTTAATACGGTATAAGTAAACACAGGTAGTAAATGCGTTTCAAAATATAATTTTCAGTGATAGCGTCATTAAATATTTAAATTTCAATGACCCCAACAGCTGCTAACGATTTGTCGTAAACATAACAGAGAAAAGTAATATCTTACAGTTTTTCAATTACCAACATTTCCAATTGTCCTTGGATATTTAATATATAAGGTCATGAATGCCGAGCTCGGAAATTAATCAAAAACAAAACGGTAGCGTGTCAAAGTATACAAGGTGTAACAAAAAAAAGGTCTGATATATTTCTACTGAAGATTCGTACTAATTATACAATCAAATAGAACGAATAATATAAAAAATTAGTTTCACATACAAAAATTCGAAGGAGTACATTTTCTTTTATAAGTACAATCGCAGCTGGTATATAGTCAGAACTGAATAATTTGTTATTAACATACCATAGACATTTCCAAATCTTCAGCAACTCGACTACATTAAATATTTTAAATTATATTAGTCTGAATTTGGTCCAACATCTAAATGTTAATAGCTCTATATTACAAGTTTCTTTAATAAACACCACGTCTAAACGTCAAATAAATTTAAAAAATAAATACCTTTGATTTAAGGTCCACAGAATAAAAATCCAATTACGACAAATTTCAAACACAAGTACCACTCAACTCGATGGGCGAACGCTGACTGAATGAAATAAGTGAAGATTGACAAGTGTTAAAAATGTTGTTAATCACCTCCCTTTACCTGACCAACTGCACTTACTATTATTAATTACTACACCGTGGCATTTTAAACCCTATTGTATTACACAGAAGGTGTTATAAGTAATTAGGGAAGTGTATAATGAGGTTTGGTGTAATTATGACACAATAGGGCAAGACTACATGTGGTCTTTTATAACGGGAGTCCGATCCTATAACTGGTTCCATCCAGTTGAAACAGGTTATCTTTCTGGATGGGTGGGAAACGATGGGAAAAATGTCGCTATAATTAAAGATGAACCTTTTTTTAGCTTCACATTATTGTAGTAATTGATGTGAGAAAATTAATAAAATTAAAAGAGTGACTTGAACAGGATTTACTAGAGCGGTTTTGTTAAGTAAACTTTTTTAGGATTACCCGAGTAATAAATAACAAACAGGTAACACGGCTTTACATTACAAAAAAATACACGCGAGTTAATGAATTTACAGTTCTGGAATGCGTTTTTGAAAGGTCCCTACATTATCTCAGCACTTTCAGCATGCTGTTTTCACTGTTACGTAGTCCGTCTAAAAGAGAAGCGATTTTCATCCACAGTACGGCAGCAAAGAAGTATGTCCGCGCTTCCGCAAACATCGCAGACTCGTAACAAAATCTCGGCAGCCGCAAGAGCATTCTAAAAGTATTGTTGTGTGCAGGGTGCGGGGAGCAATGTACAACTTTTGTGTATGTTAGCTCCACAGGTTACTAGCGTAAAGAGAAGAACAATAAGCTTAACCTTACAAATAATACAGAAAAAACAAAACAAGATTTTATATATATAGCGCGGCAGTAGCGGGAGAAGCGTTGCTTCTCCTTGGAGTGGTACTTAGGTCAACAGCACATCAAACTATATATTTTGTTCGAATGTCGCCATCACCACAACGGAACAAGACCAGTCAATGTGTAGTTGGATATGCTGCCGTCTGTACACTTCATGTCGCACACGAAACCAAGTGCTGTCGTAACTCAAAATTGTGGGATTGAGAAAATACAATTTCAAAATTAAAAAAATAAGACCGAATGGATATTATTGCGAATAATGTGAATATTTTTATTTATACACAATACTCAATTATCCATTTATAAACGCGAATGTATGGTATTGGTTTAATTAATTATTTTTAATTTGCTAGTTACGTATATTTGTAATATCTATTTTTATTGAATACCATGGTGTTTTTAATACCACGATGTTCGTGTTTTTTTTTATGAAATTACCCCACTGGTTTGTTGTTATTACGATACAAAAATCGAATAATACAATTTTCATGTGTCGAAAGCATTTTTGACATATGACACGTGCCTTTGTTATACCAAGCGCGCTTGCGCACAGCATCCGATACGTATACGAGACTATACAAAATATCTAGAAAACTCTGACCTATTTCGGATATCGCTCGTGCACTAAGTCCAATTCCAAGCACAAGTCCGGTCGTGTATGGAGTACTGCTGAAAGGTTTGTAACCCTAACAAGCGGTGACCAGGTACGGCAGTAAAACAGAAAACTTCCGACCCACAAATTTATTAAAAGTCGTGTTAAGAAGAAATGCTAACAAAGAAGTAAGGAGTAAGGCTGTAACAATAGAGAGGTATATATAGAAAAACAGGTACATTTATATAAAACACTTCCTAACTTAATGATGATAAATATAAAGAGTTAGACATTTACCCCTAAAAGGGCCGAGATATACTAAATTACAAATACGTATTCATAGGTACATGATAAGGCTGTAGATTGTTACACACTTATTAAGATTGATACATGTTTTAGATTATATTATAATGATTATAACTTGGTAAAAGAATCAAAATTAGACGTGATTAAATTTAAACAGCTCCGTCCGCTGTCGCGATCGAGCAGGGAGTGGCGATGGAACGAAAGAAAATCAGAATGTGAGGCAATAGAATGGATCAATTCAAAATTTTAATTTAAAAAACGAGGGGCCACAATCACGATGTAAGGACGTCACACCGTCACACTGCTGCCACGTATGGGATGGCTCTGCTACATTACCAACTGGCCACCATGGATTGATCCGGAATGAATAGAGGCAAAGCTGCAGAGCGTTGAACACCGCCATAAAGTTGCCTGCTTATCGGTATTCTACAGGATATATCACGAAGAGTGTGCGAGGTAATTACACCATTTAATTCCGCCTTCCCCCTTTCATGGGACCAGACGTAACCTGAGGTTCCAACCGTATATATATATATATATAATAACCACGAAGCGTTTCGCTTCCACATTTATATGGCGAACAGTTATGGAGTGGAATCCCTGCCTACAGACTTGTTCCCTGAATATTATAACTTGGACCTTTTCAGACCTTGACCTCTCCATCCTCGACTTCATCGTCATCATCATCAGGTGAGATGGAAGTCAAATGCGCACCTATTCTTTAATGAAAAAAAAGAATCCGAATAAATAGGAACGTCGCTTGTACATTTAGAGACAAAACGATACGTGTGACATTTCAGACCGTCATTTCTCGGATTCGGCACTGATATAAATCGGACGTACTGCGCAGACGTATTTAGGAGTATTATATAGGTGTATTTAGGAGAATAGTTTCTGAGAAATTTGTTTTGCTCAAATGGATTCGTGCCCGCCATTTTTCGACTAGTGCAAAATCCTACCTTTACCTTAAAAATAATATTTTCCCAAAGTAAGTATCTGAAGCACTTGAGTTATGGAAAATGATAACAATAACGGTACCACAAACACCCAGACACGAGACAATGTAAAAAAAAATTTTCTACACTGTCTCGGCCGGGGATCGAACCCGAGACCTCAGAGATGGCGACACCATGAAAACCGGTGTGCAAGCCGCTCGACCACAAAGGTCGCCATATTAGAGAGGCCTGCCTGCCTGTATACAGAGGAGACTGCTGCATTTGTTCAAAAACAACCAACATATTTTGAAATCGCAAACAAAAGGAACCATAGAAATTTAAGACATGGGCATAGAATGGTTTTCTCCAGCCACCTCCTCACCACACCTCAACATTTGACTAGAAAAGTTTTTACGTAATGTCGCAAGGTAAAATTTAAAAATGCTCTTAAGTGGTTGAATAACAAGCTTAGTGTACAAGAGATTTTTTTGACAACAACGACAAATTTGGTGACTAGCGAAGTGACATGTTTATTAATAATTGTTTTTTTTTCCTTTCATATTATATTGCAATTTTGTTGTATATAACAACTGGTAGACTACAGAGCACAAACCAAAGTAATATTTTAAGACCTCATGTTATTTATTACCTTTAGTTATACAATAAATGTATTCTTATTTTATTATTCTTAAATAATTGTAACTTAAAATATAACTAATTTCTTTAAAATTTGTGCCATTTACTTTTAATCCTTTCGAGATTTCAGAGGTATTATTTTATTCTTATTATTTATCTCATGATCATCACATGAAACAGGTTATTTAAACACATGTGAAATTTTATTATTCCCTTATTTAAGAGACTACACTACCTCAAATGGCTTTAATTGATTCCGCAAAACAGTGAAACTGTTGAAAAAAATATATAATAAAATTGGGGATATACACACTGGAAAAAATATGCAGTAAAATTTACAAATACCATAAGGTGTGACAACACGATTCTTAAAAATTTTCATGATAGAAAAGAAACACAAACTTACCGCTAATTATGTTTACATAATTTTACGAGCAACATAACACAAATGCGATCGATTTGGTAGACATTTGCACATCTATCTATTATTCCGAATTTTCGGCCAGGTTGCCCCGGTCGTGGTCACGGACTGACGAATTTTATTACGTTTATTCCAGGCTTTTATTAAGTACAATGCAACGTGAACGTTTAAAAGCTTATTAAGTACTTTTTTAATCGCTCACCGCATCACACTGTAGTGTTCGATATTGCACTGTATTTTTTATTACAAAATAATTGCGTATTTGAATTCCATCTCGCCAGATGGAAAGTTTTTTTGTGATACCATAACAGTTGCAGTGCCGCAAAGATCTGAGGGGCACTGCCACTGCGCCCGCCACCCTGAGACGTAAGTTGACCTATGTCCCTGTAATTTCACCAGCACCCTTACCCTTCAAAACCGGAACGCACTAATGCTCACATTACTGCTTTGCGGCAGAAATAGACAAGGTGGGAATACCCAGGACGATCTCTTTCACAAGGAGCTCTACTGCTACTAAACATATGATGATGATTACGATGAGGTCGACGATGGATGCACCTAAATAATGTCTATTCACTCTCGGCTATGCTTAGAGTTTCGTTGCGAGATTGAATCAGTAATAAGAATATCCGCAAGGGAACCAGAGTAACCGACAGTCCAAAGATTTGTTAATAGTACATAATTGTAATAATGCTCGCAGAATAGATGGCCGATGGGGCCGAAGAATTTTCGAGTGGCAACCGCGTGCCGGTAGACGCAGTTTGGGCACACCACCCACAACGTGGACTGATGATCTGGTGAAAGCTGCTGAATCCTTTAATTATAAAATATAATAATAAAATTAATAAATAAATCTTGAATTATGTTCAATTATAAAGTTTTTTTATTGTAATAACTAAATTAAAATGTTCGCAGGGACGTACTTCTTATTATACATGAAATTATTGTATTTGATAGTTAACAATTCAATTAACTAATCTTAGCCTCGGCCTGCCTCTGTTTTTATTGCTATCCCAGGGCTCGTAATGTGTAAGTCGTTGTAACGTCGTTATTTTAATTTTAATACCTTATGTACCATATGAATGCAACAAATATATCGATGATTGGGTATTCTAACATGCACTCACTTGTATACGAAAACATAAAAAGGCTTGATGACTCGAATCTACATATAACTGTATGGTACGTAGGTACGTGTTTTCGATTTTATAAACAATACATTCAACGAATCCTTATTACTACGCCATATTGTCGGTTCCATTTC